ATCACATCTACGCAACCAAGGGCACGAGGTGATCAATATATCGACGATTCGGCGGAGCCCGCTCACTCCACTCAGATTTTGCTTCTGGTTCATTGCGCAACGTTACAACTCGATGGCGTGCATTTTTCCTCTTCTGCCGTTTCTTTTGCATCCAGCCAGTTCCGGCCACAACACGAACGATTATTCGCTACACACAGTTCCTCGCCCGCTCGTTTACAAGCACGGCATCTATCCGCAACTATCTCAACGGTGTTCGGCTGCTGCATCTTTTCGTCACAGAGACCCCAGCTTCACTCGACTCATTCAAACTGCGCCTTGTCCTCCGGGGAAAACAGCGTATAACAGCGCACCAGCCTCGCTGCAAGTTGTCTATCACATCAGATATCCTTCTTCGAATTCATCGTCTCTTGGACTTTACACGCCCGCTGCACGTTACGCTGTGGTCCGCTTTCCTCATCGCATTTTTTTCGTTCCTGCGCAAGTCCAACCTGGTGCCCCCTTCAGATACAGCTTATGATGCCCGCATTCATCTCTCGCGGGGCAGCGTCGAATACAACACCACAGGTTTGAAAGTCGGGTTCGTTCTTTGCCAGTGAATAATTGTTGTATTTTGTACGCAGTTCAAAATTGTTAATTATTCATTTGCATACTTTTCATTTGCATAACTTCGTTTGTTTGTTTAATTGCTCCACTGCGCATGTTTCTTGTAGCCAATTCGCTTCGTTCTGTTTACATGCACTGTTTACATCGCACGCTGTTCGTGCCCAGTCATTTCTGTTCGGGTTATTTTCACCCACCCACCCACCCACCCATAATGTTACAGCAAGTCTCAGAAGTATTGGGGCAGCCAATTTGCAAACTTTGGCTTTCGAATCTCGCTGGCGTCATCTTGCCCACTTAAGGCAAATTTATATAACGGTAGGGGACGATCCTCATACTTTAGGAGCTAATCAGCGTCGGTCTTACAGTTGGATGGCGATTTCGCTTTCAAATATACCAGGAAAAGTGTTCTATGCTCTTCGTGTCCACCCAAAAACAGTGGTTTTTCCATCGGTTATCTTTATGTTACCCCAACGGATCGTTTGAGTGTGAAAGTTTGTTATTTTCTCCCTGATATGTAGGAAACTGTTTTCTCAACTTATCTAAAGTCAAACTTTACTACATGACAAGAAAAGAAGCAGAAACTTCTATTTTCCCTTCCCTGGAAAAGAAAATTCTTCCTCTCTGACTTCCTTACTTTCATGTAATTTGCTTCATGTTCTGATTCAAAATTGTGAATGGCTTTTTTTGTGTCCCTGTGTAATTTGTGAAATCAAACGTAAAAACAGGACACACAAATGTTATAGCATCGTAATGGTGTCAAAGCATCACATGGGATGCAACACACAAAAGTATTTTTGAGTAATTTCACACCTAATAAATGTACACATTTGATGATGGTCAATTTTGATGACATAGGAGTTTCTCAACATCATCTTTTTCCTTCTGAAAAAAATTTTCATTTTGACATGAGCTATAAAAAGCTATTCAATTTCAAAGTCAATTTCAATGTTCGGCCCACGCCTATCGGCATCACGTGAGAAAATTGACTTATTCTATTTGGGATTTTATGTCTACATGTTTGGCTGTCTGAGCAAGATAATAAAAATTGTAAAGTCTTTACAGTCATATTATGCTTACTTTGTTTAACAAGTTTTAGAAATGTTTTTTTTTGACGTTATTTCAGGAACCTCGTATTGATCATTTTGTGAAGAAAGTTTGGTTCTTTCTGCATCCAAGTTATCGACCCAATGACTTAGTTGAAGTCAGGTAAAGTTGCTAATTATATATCATGTTATGACATTTTATCTCTGCTTCAAAGCGTGTGATTCAAAGGTTTTATTCTGGGTCATAAAACATTGCCTAATTCCTAGCCATCCCCATCTTCATCAAAAATCCTAATATAACTATCAAAACACTCTCCACTCATGATTCTTAGCCCAGGGAATTATTTTGACTTTTACAAGTGAACATACATTTGGTAATTCCTAACTAGGAATGCATTTCATTCAATGTCTGTGTCACTGGCCGTGTATTTCATCTGAAACCCTTAAATCTTAAAGTGTCTGTTGATGTATCTCGGTCAATTACCTGTTTACTTCGAGCTTAGTTACTAATGACCTAAATTACGCTTTCATTTCTTCCAACCATTTATATTAACTCACTTGTCCTATATGACATATAACAAATTTATTGACCTGTGATGTAATGTAACAATCTGTTCGTCTGTCCATCCATCTGTCTGTTCGTATAGACTGATATCAGAAGCGCTATTCACACAATTTTGAAGATACAACACGCAATGTTAAAGACATTGCATACTTATTCATTCAACATATTCAATGACCATATATGGGCATGTGACCTCATTAAAAATGCGTAACTATCATATCTGGAGCACTATTGCAGATATAAGTGTTCAATCTGTGCTTTTGACAGTGATGCCAGAGATCGTCTATTTCTGATGGTTTTCTTTGTAACCAATCTGTGAATTTATTAGTCCCCGTTCGGACGAAGTCGGGGACTTATAATTTGGTCTCTGTCCGTCCGTGCGTCCGTGCGTCCGTCCGGAGTCATATCTCAGAATCCCTTGGACCGATTCCGTTCATTCTTTGCATGTGCCTAGTACCTTACATGTATGTGGGACATATGCACATGCAGTGATTTAGCGATTCGATTCAAAATGGCCGACTGGCAGCCATCTTGTTTTTTGAAAATGTTGTATTTTGAACATGCTTTGTCAGTTTTCATTCAAACTTGGTACATAGATTATACATGTTAGGATACATGTCCATGACGATTTATTTCGCAATTGGATCAAAGATGGTCGACTGGCAGGCATCTTGTTTTTGTTTTTTTATGCGGTATCTTGGACGTGCTCTGTCAGTTTTCATTCAAATTAGGCACATACATGTACTTTATACATGTTAGGATGCATGTCCATGACAATTTGTTTAAAATTCTGGTCAAGGATGGCCGTTTGACAGCCATCTGACTTTTTGGCCTTACTACATTTCCACAATTTATGTACCATTTTCATTCGTATTTGGCACATTCATCATACATATCTCTGTGTTTCATAATCAGATCAAAGATGGCTGAATAACGGCTATTTTTATTTTGGCCATATTACTATGACACGAAACACGTGTTTTCATGTAAATAAACAATCTGTTGTATACGCCACTTGGAACTCAAGTTTCAAGGACACGCTTGCGACAACCCCTCCGCTTTAATATGACAAGCACAAAGAGAACTTAACGGGGACTGTGTCATTTTCAATGACTTGTTATTTGTAAATTCATTCTAATCAATTCTTTTCTTTGACTTTATCTCCATTCCTGCAGTGAACCACCATTCCATTTGACAAGAAGAGGATGGGGAGAGTTTCCAGTGCGTGTTCAGTTACATTTTGTTGACCCAAGAAATAAGAAAGTGGACATAATTCACAATTTGAAGGTACATTGTAACATTCTCACTGCATTAATGCAGCTACTATTATAAAATACCTGTGAAGACTTGGGCTCAGTTCCGACCTAGCAGTTGAATATTAAACATCTCAGTTCAAGTGCTCCTCTCCAGTATGTTATTTTCCTCTCAGCGTGGGAGACCAATACTCACTTGGCTTTACTTTGAGAAATCAGGTCTCAGTTTACATTCACTCATAAAATGTGTACTAAATGTGATTTCTACAATATGAGAGTAAAAGGGGAAGGTGAGCTTGTTTTGGGAAGAAAATTTCTGTAGCAACATTTTTTTTATTTTTTTATGATAAAAAGAAGAAAAAGTTAAGTTTAAATACATCTGAGAAATGTGTTTTGAATTTATTTAAACTAACAATTCTCTGTATTGTCGTAATATTTCATGAAATCAAAAATGATGAAACAAAATAGAAAGTTTAACTAGAAACTAGATCCTAAATTACAGTTCAAGGTCATTTGCAATGATATTTTATTTCACTCTTGACAGCTTGACCGGACATATACTGGTTTACAGACACTTGGAGCTGAAACGGTGAGTTCAAGTCTAAAGAGTATGATAAACAAAATGGTGGATTTGACAACCTACTCAAAAATAAATATAACATGAAATAGAATCTCACAACTCGGGTCAATATTTTCCATATTCATATATAATGTATTTTTTATAAAAAACCTCTCTTTCATCTCTTTATTTATCCAAACCAGTTTATACATAATAATAATAATAATATTAATAATAATAATAATAATAATAAACTTTATTGATATCGTATCCTTTATAGGATCTTGAATTAAGTTAAATTACAATAAAGTGTGGATGGATACAATAACTTTTATCTGCAAGTACTTGGTTGTACAGCATGTTCTCAGAAATAAACACGCATATTTCAATGAAACTTGTGTTATTCTCATATTATGTTATTTTATCACAAGTTATTCTCTTTCAGGTTGTTGATGTAGAACTGGATAGGTACTCAATTGATGAGATCCAAAACACAACACATATAACCAAACAAGCAAACCATGACATCTCTGAACCAATTGGCACCCTTGCAATTTCTGAAGGCAGTACAGTCGCACATACTGAAGACATCAAACCCAATATCAATGTTGCAATGTTAGATCAAGATACGACAGCTCCTCCGTTAAACGCCGCCCAAATTGCAGCTAGGATTTCAGCAGCACAGCAGCTATGTACCCCTAGGAGCGGTAAATCACAGTATTCGAAAAAGAATGGACAGGAAGTAATGGCAACTACTGGTAACACAGTGCAGGATGGGTCAAAACTGGTTTCCAAGGCATCCACATCTGTCTTATCCATAGCAACGGGCACATTGTCCATGCCTCCGTTAGGTCCGATCGGCAGCGCTAAAAATCCAGCTGCAGTCACGGTTGTTACAAATACTGTAACGTCTACTGTGAAACCGAACGTGAATGTCAGTGCAAACGTTCAGCATGTACAAGCAAATGTTCAACAGGTGCATGCGCAAAAACAGCTCTCTTTGAAAAATGCATCCTCCGGCAACTTTGTTATGTTAACTACAGCACCCCAAGTAGCTGGTAGTGCCACTGTCAGTACCCCATCATCTAATACCATGGCAACAAAAGTTTGGATCAACCAGGGTAAAGTTCAGATGTCAAGTCCAGGTGTAGTCGCTGTTGGAAATGTTGGTGTCAAGTCTAAACCAACGTCTTCTTTGCAGATAACATCACAACAAAGCATAGGTGGTGGAAAAGTCATGCAAGGGAAAACAATTACCAAAATGGCCACCCCAAGTCGACCAGCTCCAAAAGCAGAAATAGTATCGCCAACTGTTATACAGACACAGCCTGGTATCATAGCAACAGCTCCGGCTAGACCCACTGGACAAGCAGCTGTTGCTATGCCAACTGCTATTGCGGTGCCAACTGGTGTTACCATGACAGGACCTGGTGTTGCTATGGGAACACAATATTTCATTGCTGCTAAATCAACTGACCCTAGTTTGCAAGGCAAGATGATACTGATACCCCACCAAGCTCTTATTCAGGCAACTGGACAGCGATTAGTTGCATCGGTCACTCAACAGATTCCTGGTCAGAATGTCCAGAATGTACGTCTCCGGGGAGCGACAGGTCAGGGACCAAGAATGACATCTCCAGGTCAAGTCATTGCCGGGAAGAATGCCCCAGGAATGCAAAGAGTTTCTACACCGCAAATACAGGGGAAAGTTCCGAGTGCTCAAATAAGAGGTCAAAGTGCACAGGTCAGAGGTCAAACTGTGCAGGTGAGGGGAGCATTCCCTATTCCTCCAGGAAATGTGATTTTAATCCCTCAAGGTGCTAACATTCCTGGCATCCAACCAGGAAGCATTGTGCAAATCCAGCAGACACTTCCCGTCTCTAAGGCACCTACAGTAAGTGGGAAGCCGGGAATGGTGAAAGCTACGACCACAGGCGCCCCAATGAAAACGGCAGTGCAGATAACACCAGCATCTAGTACAACAATCCTCCCCATTTCCGGAGCTCAACAGAATACTACATTAAAAGTGACCTCAACTGGGATTACAGCTCAGCAACCAATACCAACACCATCGCGGACTGTCTTGATGCCGCAGAATGCACCAGCCAAAGTTTTACCTGGTACAAGACTAGTGTTGTCACAACCAGCAATATCAAACCTATCCCAGCCTGCTGGAGTTTTACAAACTTCCAGCATCATCGGCAACAGAGTCTCCTCCCAGGCAATTAAAGTGGAGACACCCGCCCCTGACCATGATACTGATACCGTTCTGCACAATAAAGGTACTGCGCCAGTCAAATTAAGAAGAGTGATACCTGTAATCAAACCAGAATTTGCCATTCCATCTACAAGGTCCATTGCAACAACTAAAATTGCCCTGACAGAAAAGCCACCTGCTGTTAATATAACAAAGCCCACCACCACCTTCATTGGCCCAAGACTCCCTGTCAGTACTGTCAGACAGAAACTAAAAGATGGTTGCCTAGCAATGAGTAAAACAATCAGGTATGTCTACATTTGCTGTTCAGTGATTTTCAGTCCCTGTTTTGGATGAAGTCAATGTCGATACCGTCCATTCATACGTTCATGCATGCAAGTATCCGTCTGGCTAGATCCATTTCTCAGACATGTTTTGACCAGTATCATTCAAATTTAACATAAAGATACAAGGCAAGAACAACTTATATATGAACATTGATTTCATTTACCATTTGAATAATTATGGCTGACTGGCAGTCATTTTGGTTCTAAAATCGTCTATAATCTAATACACAAATGTGTCGATAGACTCAATTTCAAAATCAAAGGAGTGCCTATGTCATTTTTGGTCAACAAAATAGGGTGAATATTAAATTTGCTTGTTCTCGGCAATCTATTGACCATTTTTATTTGCACATTACATATAGTTAATACACATTACATTACATATATATTTGATAAGACAATTTTATAATCATAGTGTTTTTGGGGGTCATTATTGGTCCAAAAATTCAAGCGAAAATGATACTTTTTGAATCAAAAACCCATACTTAACATGCATAGATCTAAAAACAATATTTATGTACACCTATGTGTTTTAGTGATTTTACCTGTAGTGAATTTTGTAAAAATTGATCAAAGTATTACAGAGTTATGATGCCACATGCATTTTTTTTTTGAGCAAAAATTACATTTGCATGCACAGATCCAAAAACTAAATTGACTTGATGACTTGTTTATTCTAGTCTTGATAAAGTACAGTCTATTGAAGATATTGTTCATACTCTTATCAAGCGTAATCCACTTATCAATAAGCACAGGGGTAGGTTTGAATTCAATTATTTTTTTAACATTACGGTATATATTCAATCTTGGGTAGATTCCATGTTGAAGAAAATATTTTTAACTTCAAAAAAAATTATTTTTTGAATTTTGTAATTCTGGAAAAATCATTGAATGTTGTAGAAGTGCAGTGCACTTCTCGAACACACTCCTACATTGATGTCATCTATTGATTGACGTCGGGGACTTCATTAAGAGTGGGTTGCTGGTTGTATGGCCGGCTACAAGCCCAAATTGGTCGTCTACTTTCTTGTCTCTCAACAACCATCCCCCTTTGCACTGCAGAGAGCCTTTTTATTTATTTGTTTATTTTTTGGCCTGTTGTTACAGAATGAAGGCCTGCTATTAAATACATTTGTGAAAACCCTGTGACATTATATGCAGTATGTGATATCTAGTTGAGTGCAGATGGGTTTATAAGGTTTCTCCTAAAATAATACAAGATTCCAATTCAACTACTGTGGAATACTTTATTTTCGCTGGAATTAATTTTCGCTGAAAAGGGTTTTTGGGAGTTTTGCTTGGAATTTATTTTCACTGATTTTTGATGAGATTAATGTAAAATATAGGAAAAAATGTATATTCGCTGGTTTTTATTTTCACGGAATCATCCCTTCAGCGAAAATAGCGAAAATAAATTCCAATCGAAAATAAAGTATTCCACAGTATTAAGCTTCAACTCTTAACAAATACATCATATAAAAAGAAATTGAGATGGGACTGCACAATAATGTGCAGTTGGAACAGGTTTTTAATTTACACATGGTTAGGTTTTACTGCATGTATTTACTGTGAGCTATAGTAGTCGTGTGTGCACTTACATAAATGACAGTAGTGTGCCAGTGTTCATATGAAGTAATCTAGTGTAAAATCAACTTTTTAGCTCCGCTGTCGACTTTGTTGAGCGGAGCTTATCATATGAGTGATTGTCCGTCGTCGCCTGTGTCCATTTTTTACTTTTTCGACTTCTTCTTGAAAACTACATGCCTGAATGCTTTGATACTTGGTGTATGTGTACCTTGGGTAGACCTCTCTCAGATTTGTTCATTTCATGATCATATCTTCAATTCTCTAGTTTTGGTGAATATTTTTGTCATTTTTGGTAAAAAGTGATATTTTCGACTTCTTGTTAAAAACCGCAAGTCCAATTGCTTTGATATTACATATATAGGTACTAAATGTGGATCTCTCTCAGATTTGTTCATTTTGTAATGATATCTTCAATTCTCTAATTTTGGTGAATATTTTTGTCATTTTTGGTAAAAAGTGTTATTTTCGACTTCTTGTTAAAAACCGCAAGTCCAATTGCTTTGATATTACATATATAGGTACTAAATGTGGATCTCTCTCATATTTGTTCATTTTGTAATGATATCTTTAATTCTCTAGTTTTAGTGAATATTTTTGTCATTTTTGGTAAAAAGTGATATTTTCGACTTCTTGTTAAAAACCGCAAGTCCAATTGCTTTGATATTACATATATAGGTACTACATGTGGACCACTCTCAAATTTGTTCATTTCATGATGATATCTTGAATTTTCTAATTTTGATGAATATTTTTGTCATTTTTGGTAAAAAGTGATATTTTCAACTTCTTGTTAAAAATCACAATCATTTATGGTGAAAAATGATATTTTTGAAGTCCCATTGCATTGATACTATGCATATTGTTCATTTTCTAATGATATCTTCTGTTCTTTAATTGAAATGTGCATTGCTAACAGCGGAGCTATCTCAGCCGAGAGGCTGCTTGTTTTTTGTATTTGTGCACTTCTGTGGAATTCCTGATTCCCGTATTAACAGCGTTTGCGAATTTATCATTTGTGCGCTTGCACATAATGTGTGACCTGATATCAACAAACAAACAAGACAGATTTTGAATTTTCCAAATGTGCAGTATACCACTCATCTGTGTTTCCAGCTCGCAGCTTAAAAAAATCACTTTATATCAGCCTCTGAAAGTTTGCTCACTGGTCTGCCTAAGCTAGAAATATGAACATGCAAATTAACAAAATTAAAAAAACCATGTCATGATCGTATTTACACCTGTACCATATCTTTTTCACTTCATTTTCTAAAAAAAAAATGATCTTTTTAAATTGGTAATCCACTTTTCTCAGCTGTATTATATAGTTCTTCTAGCTACCCCTTTTTTACCCATTCATGCTCACTTCGCTACCTTATTTTAATAACTGTTTTGAGTATGCCACTGACTTCTTCAAGGGTTGTTCTTTTTTCACTTTTTATATTTCTGTCCTACCGTCGCCTTATTGCCTGGTAGGTTACGTATACGCAAATAGAATTACATTGAATCTATCGATAATTCGGGAATCAAGAATCGAATGCATTTAAGTTAGCGTATCTTCATTATTAGTGAGAATAGAAAAATTATAGCCTGGTGAATAACTAATACAAGAGTAGATAGTATAGAAATCTCATCCAGGAGTTTATTAGTTTGACAGTCCAAACTTTTGTTTTACTCTTTTCTATTATTTCTATTCACTGCGATTTAGTTCAACATGAACATCCGTTCTGTGCCTTATCCTATGACGAATACAAGTCATGGCCACTCGGGAAACAAAGAGGTGCTGAGTGGAAGAGAGCTGCTAAAGTCAGGAAAATCCTTCTACAAATTATTAAAAACTCGGAAAAATTCACGGAAAAAGATGTATGGAGTACAAAAAGGATTCTTACATGGAGTAGAAAACATGGTTATGCAGTCTCAGACATAGGTGAGTAATACCATTGAGTGAATGGTCGATGTAAAAATAAACATTATAAATAATACCTATGTCGCAGTTATTTCCATCACTAATGCCTGCACTCGAACCGAATGAGCAAACATTCTGAATTAATGCTGATAAAAACAATTATTATACATCTGTAACGCCATAAGTTATTTTCATCCTACCATATTAGGAAATGCGAATTCCAAATATGGATTGATTACGCGCATAGGTATCCTCTAATAATTAAAACATATGCGCATAGGTGTCCTCTAATAATAAAAACAAACATGGCAGTTTGACCGGAGCCCATATAAAGAAGTTCGCTCAATCTGTTCTAAACTTTTTGTTTTTCGGCATTCCCATGATGTATCCTTGGGAGGAAAAGATGTATAATAACGAGGATACCGAAAAGTAAGCACTCGGGCAGTAATAACCTCATATTATACTGGAGTTTTAGCTGAATTCAAATTTTTAACCACTGAGCATGCACTGCAATGCATTGTGGGTGAAAACATCTCGTCCACTAAAAGATGTGCCTGTGGGATAAACCCACAGATGTGTGTGTTCATATGGGCCTGGTTGACACTGGGATACAGCACAATAAATTTCCGTAATGTTGTTATGACCTAGGAAAGATGGTTACAAAGTCCAAACATGGAATATAGAATCTGTGGCTTAATGCACTGTATGTCAGCACTTGCACATACAAAAGTCAGAAAAAGTTCTCTGCCCAAAACTATCACTAGGCATAAAAAAAATGTTTGTTTTTTTCATAGTTGACAGAGATGCAGTTATGTGTGAAATTTGTGGTTATGTGAAGATTGCAAGGAATGTCTCCAGGGAAACAAAATATAACAATGGAAAGAGAACAATAAGAAACAATGAAGAGAAAGATGAAAGTGATGAGGATATGGAAGATGATGGAGAGGAGGAGGAAGAAGAGAAGGAGGAAGAAGAAATTGAAAACCATGAATGTAAAATAACCTGGCTCAATGAATCAGGTAAGGAGCCTTATAGTTGTTGCTGTAACCTATCTGTCACAAAGCTCTTCCAATAACAACAGCTCTTGTTATTTGTCAAGGATGAAAAAGATATATCTGTTTTATTTTATCAGCGTTTTGAGATGTTGATGTCATTTTAAAAATCCATGTATCGTATTTGCCCTATTTAAAAGTGCATATAAACCATAAATTGCATGTGTTTTATACTAAATCAACCCATAATTAGTTCTTTTGACTGTGGAAACATCTCTAATGTACGTAAGCATATACGATAATTCACTTAATCACATGTGCTAATTTATTTAAATATATGCACTATTAATTGAGCAAATATGATATATACATGTATAAATTGATATACTGTAAAATACTTTATTTTAGCTGGAATTAATTTTCACTGAAAAGACATTTTGGGTGTTTTGTATGGAATTAGTTTTCACTGATTTTTGTAGAGTTGAATGTAAAATATTGGAAAAAAGGTATATTCGCTGGATTTTATTTTCACTGAATCATTCCTACAGCGAAAATCAATTCCAAGTGAAAAAAAAGTATTTTACAGTTCTTATATCAACACATCTCCTGATAAAAGGCACCACGGTTTGCTGAAAGGATTGGTAGAATAATGGCATCAGAAATCTATGTGTTAGAAGAGAAGACGCAGTTTCCAACAAAACATAAACACAATGCCTATTGATATGAATGTATGAATAGAATATAACTCAAAATTTACCAGCAGGTAATTTTTTTCCAATGAACCTGTCATCATGCATTTTTAGTAAGATGCAATCCACGTAACCTACTGTATAATCCGGTTTTCCAATGTTTCAGGTTACCTAGCCAATCCGTCCCTCAGCACTTGTGACGATCTCTGTCAAAATATCCAAAAACAACAATCAGAACTAAAAGTCTTGGATTCTGACTCTGATGTGGAGGTTGACGTTCTGAGTATCACCGACAACCGAAAATTGCAAATTAAAAAAGAATTATCAGATACTGAGGGCACAGTTCAGATGTATCTACCTTCCACTCTTCATACAGAGTATGTACAGAATGCTGTACAAGAGGTGAGTGTGACCCTCTCACATGTAACCTTTGAACCTCACCCTACCTCCAGTCATATCAGTCTTCATCAATATTTACATCATCTGCCAAAAAACAGATTCAACATTTTATATATTTTTGTCAGTTTATTCAGAACTGTAACTTACTTTGTCCGATTGGCGGCCATTTTGGGTCTTAAAAATCTGAATACGTCATTCACAATTTATCAGATATGTCAATTCTGTCATTAACAATGGTTTTTTATTTTTGTTTTTACATTTGGTTGATTTTGATTTGTTAATTATTTTTAGATTGGTGTCAAGTTACCTCCCGTTGAAGTTTCTAAAGATACCTTTGCACCAGTAATGGAAGAAATGTTATTAACTGTAAGATCATGATCATGTTTCTCTTGAAGTGGACATTACAGGATGGCTGTATCTGTTCTCTGTATACATACAAAATCTTCTTGTCACACTTTGTATCAAATGATTGAAGGTTTAGGTGGAACTTTTCTTTTATGAGATCCTGGATAAAGTTGACAGTTTAACCTGTGTCTTTGGACAGACTAGCTGGGTAAAAAGGGTAAAAAGACCTGTCTCACGACGGTCTAATCCCAGCTCACGTTCTCTGTTGGTGGGTGAACAATCCAACGCTTGGCGAATTCTGCTGTTTTTTTTTTCCATATTTGGCCTATAATAGAGACCTTTTTTTAAGCCATGTTTGGCTCCTATGGAGACATTAACATCCATAGTTGGCTTAAATGGAGACATTGTCATCCATACTTGGCTTGTATGGATACCATATTTCCCATATATAAAGACAATATCATCCATATTTGGCTTATATAGAGACTGTATTGCCCATATTCGACTTGTATGGAGACATTATCTATATTAGGCTTGTATGGTGTCCTTATCTATATTTGGCTTATACTAGAGTATGTTGACCTTACCTTATCATTATCATTTTGAATGGCGTTTCATTTGTAATTTTATTTTGCATTGCAGGCTATGATTGATTTCATGAATGATCTTTTGAGAGATTCTCTATCAGTTGCACATGGGAACAAAACTGACAACAGGTGAAGTATATTTAATTAATTGTAAAATTATGAATATTAGTTAACTAGTGGTATAGTTACAACAAATTAAATCCATATCAACACAGTGTATTACATTTGTATGCAGTCTGAAAATGAGAATTTGTGGACTGACCTCTGATTGTTCATTGGTGGGTGTGTCCACACATTTTCACCTGGTCAAATCACATTCAAACTTTACACATACATCAATTGATCCAAATGCCAATTTGAAAGTTCTTTGTAAAAATGTAAGTTTATTTCATTTTCACCGTAAGCAGGTTCATACAGTGGGGTCACCACTATTCCAGTTTGTCACAATGTGTGAGACGTGATAAGGAGAATTTTACTTGACATGCATGTATTATTTATTCCATACTGAATGTTGATATCCCAAAAATACTTGATAAGTAATTCATGATAAATTACTATATTTTTTCATTTCTAATTCTGGAAACGTTGACTTATGTATCTCGGACATGCCTGGACAGATCTCTTTCAAACCTCACATATGCATTATGCATATTGGGATAATTATGCACCTCCATTTGTTTTTTGATTTGATTTCAAAATGCCTAAATGGCAAATATTTTTGTGTAAAAAGCATTTCTACCATCCTGGAAACGGGTCTCGGTTGTGTATGAACGGATTTTGTTCAAACTCCATACAAACATCAGACATTATGGGACATTGATGTTCGTCATTTTGTTTTACAGTTTTAAATATATATTTACTGCTAACAACTGATAGAAATGTTCTTTTTCTAAAGATGCAATAAAGTATTACTATTACTAATAGCTGGCAGGTGGCCATTTTATTTTAAGTATTCAAGAGCTATATCTTTGAAATGTCCTGACTGTTTATGTTCAAACTTTATATATATATCATGCATCATGTCACACATATGCACATATATTCATTTGATAGTATTCAATATGGCTGTAAGGTGGCCATTTTATTTTAAGTATTCAAGAGCTATATCTTCAAAATGCCATTACCGTTTATGTTCAAACTTTATATATATATCATGCATCATGTCACACATATGCACATACATTCATTTGTTGGTATTCAATATGGCCGTAAAGTGGCCATTTTATTTTAAGTATTCAAGAGCTACGGTATATCTTTGAAATGTCCCGACTGTTTATGTTCAAACTTTATATATATATATATCATGCATCATGTCACACATATGCACATATATTCATTTGATAGTATTCAATATGGCTGTAAGGTGGCCATTTTATTTTAAGTATTCAAGAGCTATATCTTCAAAATGCCATTACCGTTTATGTTCAAACTTTATATATATATCATGCATCATGCCACACATATGCACATATATTCATTTGATGGTATTCAATATGGCCGTAAAGTGGCCATTTTATTTTAAGTATTCAAGAGCTACGGTATATCTTTGAAATGTCCCGACTGTTTATGTTCAAACTTTATATATATATATATCATGCATCATGTCACACATATGCACATATATTCATTTGATAGTATTCAATATGGCTGTAAGGTGGCCATTTTATTTTAAGTATTCAAGAGCTATATCTTCAAAATGCCATTACCGTTTATGTTCAAACTTTATATATATATCATGCATCATGTCACACATATGCACATATATTCATTTGATGGTATTCAATATGGCCGTAAGGTGGCCATTTTTTAGTTAAACGTTCTTCAAAATCATAATTCTAAATCTTGATCTCTGACCAATGACATGTTGAATTTTGATAAATGCAGGGACTGCGTAATTTTATTGTACACATAATATATGAAGAGAAGCAAAATTCATAATTACTATGATGTTAGTGTTCATTAACACTACAATTCTTGTTTTGATGGAAAATCATTGCAACTCATGTCGCTTACACATTTACTTTTTGACAGTTTTTCAAGGTCAATTGAAGATTGCTGAGTAGTAGCCATTTTAAAGCTAAACATGCGTCAAAATTAAACATGTTATCCATTCAATAGTTGGTGCATACATTGAACATATTGGGATCTTAATGCACATAATTTTGTTTTTCAGATCAGGTTCAGAGTGGCCTCTTGTGGTCATTTTGTTTTAATGAATGGGTACACATCTCCGACATTCCCAGACTATCAAGTTCAAACTTTACACATATGCACCTGTGTTATTTTCAGGTCAACGTTGATCATTTTGATATTTCTTTTGTCATTCCAGAGTAAATTTCTGGTTGTGCATCAAAGAATTTTGTTCAAACTTTGATTTCGTTTCAAAAATAAAATTACACCCATATTTGAAACGACCAAGGGTGTTAGGCAGGGTTGTGTCATTAGCCCAATGCTTTTTAATTTGTTTATTAATGACTTAAATAAATCACTAGAAGATGAATCATTAGATCCGGTTACATTGAATAACTGTAAAATTAGTTCCCTACTCTATGCAGATGATCTAGTGTTAATATCTGAAACAAAAAACGGTCTACAAAATGCACTAAATAGTTTAGAAGTTTATTGTCATAAATGGAAACTTCAGGTAAATCTGACAAAAACAAAATGTGTTATTTTCAGACGAGGAACACTGAAAAAGACAGAAAAATTCTATTATAATGAACAAAATATTACCTGTATAGATATGTACAACTACCT